CTCACCGAGCTCATACTTTCACAGCCTTTGAGGTCAGCTTTTGGACCATTAGCATTTTCCATTTCTATAACTGGAACCTTTGTATCCCGTCTCTGGAGGTACGTGGCGGTGTGTCACTCAGTAAGTTAGGACTCAGTGCTAGTAAACAGCAGGTCACTGGTTCATATCCTTTGGTCAACAGAGAAATTCTGCCTTTACCCCAGTTGCTCCAGAACCTCCCTGACCCCTGCTTTCTCGATTGTACATCATCTTTGATAAAAGTATCTGCTAAATAAATTAATGTAAATGTAACATAAAAGGAACCTACACTCAATGGAGTGTATGCAGTTGTTGAACTGAGGGTATTTTTGGATTTGTTCCAAAGGCTTGATGAAATAATAGGGTATTTAATGAGAGAGGCACTTTCCATGGTTAGTCACCATCATTAGTTTCCTGCCGTTAGAAGAATTTAGCGGGACTGTAAAGGCCAGCGAGATGTGGAGTCACGGCTTGCTGCCGTGTTTGGGGATATTATTCACCATGGCAGTTATGTACCAAGAGGAAGGACTGGTCGCGTGGGGCACTGCTTGTAGGTGTGGCGCCCAGGTCATCTACTCCCCCTTTCCAGAACGTTCTCCCGGTTCAGCGGGAGGCAGCACGGACACTCTGCATCTTTCTTCGCTACAACCGTAAGCAGGAGCAGCGGCAGGAAATCGTCGGCAAGGTGGTGGAACGTGAGTGCGTCTCCTCCATAAATGCAAGCAGAGACAGCCAGCAGGGGGTGCTGTCCACGTGTGGTATATGAGAAGTAGAGTAATTTAATATCTGGCCCTCTCTCCCAGAGCTGGCACAAGGGAAGAGCTATTGGAACAGGTTGAGGTACCTGGACCTCTGTGAGATCGCCATGGACCTCTTCTCTAAGTCCTACTTCTGCAAATACTTCCTGGGCCCTGCACTGGAGCTGGTCAATGACCCCGTTGCCAATGTCAGGTATGCTCACAGCCTCCGCGCTTGACCCTTATGGGTTAGGTGACCTCTGACCTCCAGCCCCACCCCCCCCACAGGTACAAGCTGTGTCGAATGCTGCCCAGGCTAAAGGCGTCCATCAGGCTGCCTGCAGAGAAACATCTGCTGCAGCAGCTGGAGTTCTGTGTGCGCAGACTGCTATGCCGTGAGAAGGACAAGGACGTGGTGTGCACTGTCCGCAAGGTGAGGGGCACCCAAAGGGGTGTCGGGGAAACATGGGGAATGCACTGATAGGCTGTGTTTAACCCTGCATGTAGAAGGTAGGTGGACCCTCTGAAGCAGTGATTTCCAATCTGGTCCTTGGGGACCTGCAGGCAGTCCACGTTTTTGGTCCTGGGAGCTGGGAGGGAGCAAAAATGTGGACTGTCCAGTAGGAAGCAGGGAGGGAGCAAAAACATGGACTGTCTGAAGGTCCCTGAGGACTGGGTTGGGTAACACTGCTCTAAAGAGTCATCTAGACAGATGGACCAATTACAACTGCCCCTCCAGAACCAGGAGGTGGCTCCATGGTTCGACGCCGAATGTGGCATGCATTGTACTATAAATAATATTCCATGAGTTGAGAAATTAGCCTTTATGTGCTCTTTTAACCTTCAGATTGTGCTGGAACTGGACAAAATGGACATCACAGAACCAGTAAGCACCTAATTTCACCCGCACACCCTGCCCACGGTCACCTCTCAGAGCTGGGTTCTCAGCAACTCTCCCTGTCCCCCCAGTACCACAAGAGGCACGAAAGAGACCTGCTGGACCAGAAGAAGGAAACGGAGGAGATCCTCCTCTTAGAGATGGTGAGAAGACAGAGGTGAAACCTGTTACTCAAACCTAGCTTCAGCTTAGATAGAAGAGAATGTCACAAGCATTGTGGAAATAGCCCTTCCGGATCCTTCCTGGCTCCACGCTGCCCCGTGGCCGTGACGTCCCAGCTACATACACATGGTGGTCCGTCCGCCTACCACCTCACATTTTTGCTGGTGTTTACATGTTCTGTCCTCTCCTTGTGTATAAGGAAAGTCAAAAATGTAACATGACTCACTGGGTGACTGAGAATGTTGAGGACCTATTTTTAATGTTATGTAATCACTTCAAACAGCTCTGTTTTCCGTTTTTAAAAGCCAGCAGTTTTCCTCTCTCACTTGTTTTGGGCTTTGAAACCTTGAAAGCTTGATGTTGTTTTAGTCCAGGGAGCAGTTTTGTTTTGTGCCTTTAGCACACTGGGTGGGGTGGCGGGTGGGGGGGGGGGGGTGTTGACCTTTGCCACTCCCTGTTCCTTCTGGTTCTTTCCTGCCGTTTTAACAGGAGCAGCTGGAAAGGCAGCCAATAGATGGAAAGCTCACAATCGACAAACACGCAGAAAAAAAACGTGAGTGCTTCCATCTTGCCGCCCCCCCCCCCCCCCCCCTTGTGGCATACTGTTAAACATGCATAAATGTCCAGCGGCCATTGGAATGGCTGAATCATTATGCTTGAATATAGATTTGAGGTGGGAATTATTATTTTATTTCAAGCTAGTCTCAGTATAGCTTCACGTAATCATTAGTAAGCTGTTGCCTCTGCTGTGTTTAAGGGAGGGACAGTAAATCTGGGCTGTCTGTATCGAAAAGCATATCAGGCTCTACATCCGGGACAATGCCGTCCTCCTCGGCTGGTAAGTCGACCAGGCTGACGCTTGTTCAGAATGCATAGGATTATGGGAAATGTCACAAGCTTTGACTGATATCTGTAGGGCAGTGTCTTACAAGTCCTTTGTGCCATTAATCGAACTCTCCTGTATGACAATTTACTTCCAAAGATCATGTCTTGATGCCAGTTTCTCTTATAGTTTAGTTCTTTGTCACCCTGGGTATAATTGCTGGCTGTCTGTTTTCCATGTTATTCCGGGAATGATATTGGCTATTGTTAAAATCCCAAGGCAAGGAGCTGAAGAAGGCCAAGTTGTCCCGGAGTCGATCGCTGAGCAGCCACCCGAGCACGTCCAAGATGGTCAATGCGGAGAAAACAGTGTAGGTTGAACCCTGTTCCTGGGAACAGAATGTGGTGCGATAGGCCTGCCTCAGTCAGAGCCCTTGTTTGTCCAGCCCTGCATAATGGACTCTCTATGTGCGGCTTCTCTCCCAGAAAGGTTAAGGAGTCTGGGAAAGAGTGCGGGAATTGTCCAGGAAGCGGGAAGAGTAGCCTCCATCCTGTCAACGGTAACCACGCACCCAGGATGGGGCCATGCACTCCCCATAAAGGGGCAACCAAAGAACCTCTTTTTATGATGACTTGTAAAAATAACTCAATTGTGCAGCTGTGAACTGTTTTGCTGCTAACATCACTTACAAAGCATGTTATTAATAGGAGGTGCTGATTATGAGATGAGCGCCAGAGGTGCGACCTGCCCCAGTCTCAATCTAACTTCCCGCTCCTAGGTGACACCCTGCCTAGATCCCACCATTTTGGCACCACGTCGAGCTCTGCGCCCCCCGCTTCTCCCGCATCAGCCATGCCAGTGCTGATCCGCAGCAACACGGAGCACCGGCCCAGTGGCTCCAAGGAGACACAGCCCAGGAAACTTAGCGTGTAGGTGCCGCAGAGCAGGCCTCTGACATGCATGCCAACACCCTAATGCACACCACGCGTCAGGGCCTGTGCAGGCAGCTCCTCCTTCAGTCTTTCGTCTCATGCTGCATTTCATTTGAACTCGTAACTTGGAAATTTGAAAATCTCAACTGGAACGCCCCCTGAAGTCGGAATTACAGCTTGTGAACTCAGGGGAATCCGCTCAACCCCGGCATCAGAATTCAAGATGGCCGTGGCCTTTGTCGACAGAAGTTAAAGCTGTAGTTTTATACGGTTTATTAACAGTTATGTTTTATTTGTGGCTCATTAAATCAGCTGTACACACAGTACTGTCCAACAGCTATCAGTGGATGTGTTGCTCTAGTGTTTTTATGCACAAAATACTGGGTAATGTGTTGGTATGAACTGATATTACTAACAATGGCTAACAATTAACTGAGCTAGACTGAGCTGGGACCTATTTCAGAAAGCAGAATTTCTTGCTTAGCTGGATAACTTGTTGGATTTAAGGTAGTCTGGACTAAATGTAAGTGAATGAAGAGAAAGGCCATTTAAATTTGGGTAAATTAGATCCAACAAGTTATCCGGCTAAGAAATTATGCTTTTTGAAACAGGTCCTTGGTATTGGTAAATGGCTTTCTGCCTTGCTGATCTGGAACATGGTTAACTTATGTGTGATGTCATTCCCAGTTCTGAGTTCTAACCTCCAAGGTAAATGGAAAATAGCAATACTCTTATGTTCACTACACCCTTACGGGGAGGTAGGGAGGCTTACATTCCCTCTTAAAACCGTTGACAGATGACTTGCAGGTTCCTCACTGGCCTGTAGGTGGTGCCAAAGCATTTTTAGAATTTTAGGTGCAGTCCACCTCCTCTTGACAAACTCTAACCCATCCCTCTCTTTCTCCTAAGGCAGTCAAAGAAAGTCAAACTCTTTCGGCATGCAGACGGGGCGGGAATGATGGAGAAGACCCCCTTCCCCTCGTCCCCTGGGGCAAGTGGGGGCTTAGAGACGGAGCCAGCGGCCAAAGTACACCCTCCTGAAAGCCCCCCCCCTCCTCCAATAAATTGTCTAAATCGTACATTTAATAAATGAAAAAACACAGCATTTCTCCACCTTGGCTATTGGGAACATCGGAACCTGCTTCCCACAGCCCCATTTCTGCCTTACTTGCCTTGCCATTTTCAAACCATATGTTACAATCACACTGCTGTACAGTATGTATTTTATTTATTTGTCCATTTTGTTGTAAAATAGCATGCAAATATTCATTTTCTCCCTGTGATTTCCAAATCACTTAGGACATAGTGGAATTTTTTTTTTTAACAGATTTCTTTAATTCCAAAAGCTTTGAATTCTGTGCCCAGACCCCTGATTCGGATTCATCGTGCCTGGTGTGTTAGCACCTGAGTGACCCACGCCAACATCTTCATAAGATCATTTGTCATGTTTAATGAACACGGATTAAACACATTTTACACCCATTTTCAAGCCGCTACTTGTCTATGCCTTTTCAAAGCTCTAAATGACCTTTCCAGTCCCTTATTGAAGTGGTGAAAGCTCATTAGTGAATAAAGGGTGAAAAAGGGGACCATCGTCTCTTAGCTGCAACACATTTGCCTTAAAATCTGTAGAATTATAGGGTGGTTTTGTCCTGAAAAGTTGGTGCTGCTGTATGGCTGTTTCGCTGGTGCTGTTATATCTTGGTGGGGTTGATGACCCTGCCCATGAAGAGGACGGCGTTGGTGACCTCATGGTAGATGAAGAAGAAGAAGGGTCGGTCAACGGCGAATCTGGTGGGCAAGGAGTACGGGGTGATGCCCGTGACAGTGACAGCAGCCGCTGTGGTTCCCATCTCATCCACCTCGATCATGGCCTTGTGCTGCACCTGCAAACGACACTGGCACTTAAGATGCACGTCGAACAGGCCAAACGCCCGGAGGAAAGTAACTGAGGGGAAGGTGCACTGCAAATCCTCCACAGCCAACTGCTTTGGATAGTACAGGCAGGTGCACTAACCTCAGACACCATGAGGCCCTGCTCTGTGCTCAGGCCGCTGAGATTTGCGGCACTTGTGAAGACATTGATTATGCCCAGGTCGGGGAGGATCTTGTGCATGGCGTAGGACTGCTCCATCTTGAACCGGGGCATTATCAGCTCAGTTCTCCTAAAGAAGAACACATCTCTCTAGCTGTCCCTCTGTTTTCCACTATAATGTCAGCTTAAAACTGGCATATCAGCATGCTTGGTTATGTAGAATTGCGATCTGTGACTGCCGTTATTTGCCTAAGCAGCTACGGTAGCGATCGGTCTCATACCTTTTGGTGAGCTGCTTGAGCCACCTCAGAAAGACCTTGCCGTTGATGCGGTCATCTATGGTAGTATAATCCACATTCTTGTCAGGCAGCAGGATAAGCATAGCGGCTCCCCCCACATAGGGCAGTTTTGCAATGCTCAACTTTAGGTTTGTGTCTTTGGTCACGTATATCTTGGCCTCAGTGAACATCATAGGCACCTGGACGATGTTGTACTTATCCACATAGAAGCGATCGTTGACTGTGGCCTTGACATCAAAAGGAAATTCCCACATACCTAGGCAAAAGAATTTGGCAAACTCCATCAGTGCAGATCTGGTGTTCAGTAAATATCTATATATAGTGTAAAGAATATTCTGTATCTCACAGACCCATGATCATGCATGATTATACAATGTTAATGTCCCTCACCTTGGAAGAAGATGGTGTTAATGAGAATAAGTTGAGTCATGGGTTCAATTTTGCTGAGTGCCTCTGTTATTTTATTTCTGGTCTTGTGCTTCATGTACTCGTTGATGGCGGCCTTGCTGAGTGCATGGTTGGCAAAGTTGACATTCATAACATCGGCTCTGAAGAAATCCTTGATCTGGTTGCTGAAGGTGGTCGACACCTCGAAATCGTCATGGACAAAGAGAGCAAAGCCCTGTTCCAGTTGCAACTCCTTGCTCTGGGTGACGTTCTCCAGCAGTTCCTGGAACAGCGCCGGGATCAGCCCAGCTCCATCCTGGTCCAGTGCGGCCAGGTTGAGCCCCCTGAGGATCTGTTCACGTGTGAACTCCCGCGCTCCCATTGACAGAGTGACAAAGGCGGTTGACATGCACAAGGGTGAGAAAAAAATGTTGTCATCGTGGTAACTGGAAATCCGCCGGTACAGGTTCATGGCGAAGTCCAAGTTACTGCTGCTCAGCTCTGTGACATTGGGTCTTGTCACATAAGCTCTGCTGGTAAGGGCCAGGAGGGCAGCCCACACTACCAGGATAGTGCCTACCATCTTCATCACTTGGCTGACTCTGTATTCTCTTATGCCCACCCAATATCACCCAAGCGAGATTCCTTTATCTTTACGGTAGTCCTCTGTCTGTGTTTCAGCTAGTTCCCACAGCTGAAATGTTCACTTAATAAAATCAGGAACCCTGTGAAAGTATCATTTGGAAGTGCATCAGCTCTGAGAATCATAGAGCCCCCCCCCCACACCACTGATTAGTTCCACACAGGTAAAGGCTTGTAAATACATACAACAAAAGATGTCTAATAGCTACAGATACAGGCCACCAATACATCAACATCCACAGGACCTGATTGTCACCTTAACCATATTCAAACCTGGTCCATTTCATTAATGTCTACCTTACTAATAATACATTACACAAACATTCAGTATGTATTGCAGCTTTAGCACAATTCTCAAACATAACGCAACATTATATAAAAGTACATTCTTCACAATTCATAGTTTTCAAACCTACCTCTTTGGAGACATCCATTTACTGTTTTTGGGAGTCAAAGTACAACTTTGACTTCAGGGTTATACATTAACTGGTCAGAGCATTCGGGGATACAAATGGGACCCAGGGTTATTTTCATGCGTCAATATTTATGTTCACAACTTTAAGAGAACGTTGACAGGGCCTGTTTCTGTCACAGTACGGTCTGAACCTGCATTTTTCACATAATGACAGTGCAAGTGCTTGAAGAGACAATTGAGGAAAATGGTCACTTTAATGAAGCAGAGTAGAAATTTTTGCAGCAGATTAATTAGTATTTTGTTAGACGACTCCAGAAAAACACGAGTGAGAGACCTAACACAGTATTTTACAGATCTGCAGACACCACATCACAAGCCTAAGCCCATTACTGCGGATTGTGTCCAAATCAAGTAACAGAAAAACAAAAAAAAAAAAAAAAGAACATAACCAACACAGAATGAAAGCTACATAATGGAAAATGGCTGAAATACTCGTACCGTGTTAAATTTCATGGGACGCTGCACGAAACTGCCAGATTAATATAGCTGTTAAAAATATCTGAATTGGCACATCAACCTAACATGTAGTACCACTATTAAACACAGAATTTCTTTGATATTTATGACCCATCACGGAAAGTAGCTCATTTTAGGTCATAATTTTACTTTGTGAAAAGGAATGAATGTCACAATCTGTGAACAAAGGTTTTAAGTGGTCAAAAGAAATACACCTTATTACTTTCAATGGCCAAAAAAGAATATAACCAGAACTACCTGGACCTTGTTTATTGTACTAGCAATGCCTTTACTTAAAAAACAAACAATAAGACTGGAAAACACACACACACGTGCGCGCGCACACACACACACACACACACACACACACACACACACACACACACTCCGCTACGTAATCAATAGTTCATAATTCCTCGGCTTTGATTGATGAGGTCATGTTGCACCTGGGAAACGATGCAGGTCGGAGGGGAGGGAGAATGCAGCTTAAGCCTGTTGTCACACCCTCAGACCCCCAATGGTCCCGCTGGGTGGCACAGGAAAGAAGCCCCCACCTCCATTCCACTGTATGCCACTTCTTATTGAAGTACCAGCCTTTTCCAGTCATCTTTCCTTTGACTCAGAGACACTTACATGGGTTTCCTGTCCACCTCTCCCAGTGGAGAGGGAAGAAGAGCAAATAAATACGTTAATAAATAGGAGCTGAAGGTGTTGTGGTAGAAGGCAACTGCAGACTTTGAGTAACTGCAATAGAACTCTATCCATCCTCCCTTCCCTGCACCCTATTAATCCGCATCGTTACATTACACTACTGGATTTTTGCCATTTCCCTGTTTCAGCCTGTTCACACGTCCAGGGTGTAGTAAACGGCCAGCTGATACTTGGAGAAGGCGCAGCAGGGGGCCAGAAGGTGGGGAGAGGCTGACCCACACAGAGGGGGCGGGGCAGCACCGCGACGGGCACAACAGGTAGTCATCGTCGGGCTGGCCGGCCGGCTTGCTCCGCCCCTGGTCCATCACTGGGCATGCTCAGTCTCAGCATCATGGCTGCCTGGTTCTGACCCTGTAACAAAGAACATGTAAACTCAACAGCCAATGGCGGTATGGCTGTAGTCAGGATGGGCCGTCTGCTACAAGTACCTGTGCTTCCTGAGGGGGCTCCCGTGTTCTGGCCATCCTGGGCCTGCTGTTGGGACTGTCTGCAAGGAGAGCATGCCAGTTTAGCTCCAGGCCCCCCCGCTTTGACGGACTCCTATGCAGGGAGGGACTGCAACGGCCCACCTGTCGAAGTAGGCCTGTCTCTTCCTGCGTAGCTCCTCAGCACTCAGATTCTCCTTCTGGGTGTTTGCAGGCATCTCAGGGGGTATGGCAGGGGGTTGAGTTGACCCCATTGTCTGGGTGACATCCACATCTTTGTGCTCGAGGGAGTTACTGGTACTTGTTGCACCTGGGAGCCGGGGGGGAGGGAGGATTATCTTGCTAATTATACATTCGGCACAGATAATGGTTCAAAGAGGAAATGACAGTGTGACGTAGTTCCAAGACCAGTGCATTATGAAGTTAAGTTGGAGGGTAGATATTCAGCGTTAAAAGTGTGTGAGGCCACTTACCCAGCATGCTCATCTGGATGGCCCGGCGTAGGTCTGCCTCTTCATCCTCAACCTCCATGTCCTCTCGGCTCAGGGCGATAGCCTTCCTTAGCGCCTCCTCGTCCTCGTCCACCACGCCAGCGTCCAGGCCTGGTTCCACTTCCAGTGCCCTCTGTACTGACACACCGCTGTATGAAACAGAGTAATGAGGAGGAACGTCATCATCGCCGCACAACACTATGATCCATCTGAGCACTGAACCTGGCCACCCAGCCCCCAGGATTCGCACCCTTGGCCGCCACTGGACTGGGCCGCTGCCTCTTCTCCAATCAGCTTGGGTCTCTGACGTTGCTCCACCCTCATGATGCGCAGAATCTGCTCTGCTTCACAGTCCGGGAGGTTCCCTCTTATAACGAAAATGGAATACCCTGCAGAAAACATGGGTCATAACCTGTCATTCCCCACTCCAGTCAACTCTGTATGGGACTCCATACTACTGAGCATACAATGCTGCAAACTGTTGCAATTACTGTACATTATCATTTTAAACAACACATGGGACGGTGTATTCCTGTATTTACCTTCTTGTTGTAATTGAGCCAGGAAGAGAGCCAGATACGTATCTGATATAAGCTCTGGCCCCGTCAACAATGAGTTCAGGTTAAACCACTGTGAAGAGACAAACAAAATAGCCAAAACAGCTCAATTTATAATTTAGCTGTTTTTTTTCACAAATGAAAGGTGAGTCACATATTTACCCAGTAACTCACCTGTTGTCCCAGTTTTCTCACAGTAAACCAGTGGTCCTTGTAGTTGCAAATAAAAGCCTTCTCATTTCTGCATGATACAAAACATCTTTTTCAAAAAATTAATGCTTCTCTTTTGGCTCCAGCAAGGTAAACAATGCAGATAGGACACACCATAGCAAACAAATATTTTTCGATTGATACACTGAAGTACTGGTAAAGTTCCCATAAAAGTTCCCTTATGTAGCAAGCGGAGACCTTCCCACACTGCTGTGCCACCTGCTGTACAAGCTGAGTAGTGCATTTATGCAGCTACATCTCGAGCACAAGTTACCCATCTCTGATTTGCTCTTACATTGGGTTGATCATCATCCGTTGATATTCGCGGCTGTTGAAGAGAATCAGTTCCAAACCCCAAACCCCTAGAGCATTACTGATAACCTGCAACCGAATGCAGAGCAATACAATCACACATTATGACACAAACAATGACATGCCCCATTACAGCTAGGCCAATTTGACTTGAATCGCAAAACAGGAGAAAATTTAATTCACTCATGTGACTCACTTGTATGGAAAAGAAACCACTGTCGTCCATGTTCCCGGATGGTTGCTGGTGAAAACATCAATGTGGGAGAATGAATGTCAGAGATGAGCTAAAGCATAATTGCAATTCCGGGGCATTAGATGTGTAGGGACAAGCAATTATAATACGGGATAGACGCTCCGAGTCTTCTACCTGAAGGAATGTCCTGTACTCCTCGCTGGTCACGCCTCCCTCCGCCATTCTCATCCGCTCTTCCTCATCCAGCTGATGTGCAATTGAGGACAGGTCCACTGGAGTAAAGTACTCTCCCTGAAGCAGGTTATTCAGACAGTGCTGGGCGCATAGGGAGCCCTCCTGCTGTAAATTGTCAACGTTTTCTTTTTAAATGAAGCCCAATAAAGCGAAACAAATATATTCAAAACAAAGTTCTAATTGGCGTGTTAGTACAATTCCTTCAGCAACCAATAATCTAGCAAAACAGATATGCGCCAAGTCTTACAATTTGGCCGTTTTTTTTTTGCAATCATAATGTTAATGTTAATGTTACATGACGTAATCTGAGCTGGGCTACCTTAATAAAAAAGTTTACAGGAAGTAGTTAGGTAACCAAGTGCATAAATCGACGCCAATTTACAAACACCTGACACTCGTTTCAGAAGTTAGTTCAGTCGCTAAACCTGGTAACACAGACACAGTGGTCACAGCGTTAATATTGATTGTGTATGGACTTTTCCACATTTCCATACTGTTTCGATAAAATTTGCAGATATTCACTTGCGATGGCTGGATAACTAATTTATTATCAGCTATAGACGCTCACTTAAAAACAAAATCTTCCACACGCGTTGCAAGGGCCTTTATGTATGCACATCTAATTATGCCATCAAATTAAAACGTGAGAAATAATTAAAAGGCTTACTTTTTCGTGAAAGATGGACTCCATACTTGGTCTTTCTGCATAACATCATACTTTGAACTCCGACCCCAAAGCACTCGCGTGAAGAGCCAAACAGCGTTCGAAGCAGCAGGTCATGTGACCGCGGCATTGGTGATTGGTTGGAAGGGTAGGAGCTGAAGTCCAAATTCTGGCCTAGAATCAGCTGCCCATTAACCAAATTTGCTTTGGAGGGTCCTCAGAATGATTTTGCTTCAGTACTGGGCTGTCTTATTGAGGCTCGCTGTACGTAGGAGCATGTTCTAGCTGAAGAAGCACCGGAGAACGACTGTTTATATTTTTTTACGTCGGCGCGAAGCCACGCCCCGCACCGTAGCTATTGGCGCCCCGGAGTCTCGAGCGCAGATCTCGCACCACAGTTCAGAGTCGCGAAAGCCTTCGGTAGTTCACCGCGTCTCCCTGGAAAAGGGAGAACGGCGGACGGAAGATGGCGGAAGCGAAAAAGGCACCTAACGGGCTAGAGCTCAGTAAGGTAAGCACACGACAGCATCTGCTCTTTAATTTAGAAACTTCTACGGGCATGAAAACTGAAGCTGTCTGTCATGGTATTACTGAGCTGACTTGCATCCTGAGGAACTTTCGGTTTTCGGGGGTACGCGCTAGCTTGCTAGCATTAGCCTCCTAGCCGTGTGTTGTTTTCGAGCTACCCAGCAAACGACGACTCCCCCAGCCGCGGCCATTCGTATCGTTGTGAATGATCTCCTGCAACGTTTAATCTCACGAGGGTTTATAACCAGTATTGCCCTGTTAAGTGTACGGTATGTCATCAGCTAGCCAGCGGTTTGACATCTCAACTTAGACTTGCGTTATTTGACGCAGTTAGTAAGTTACGCAAATAGTGAAACCTGTGAACGCTGCTAAATCACCCTGATTAGTAATTCACTATTGGTAACCGACTTGTTCAGGTCGTGACAAGCCATGGACGGTAGTTTGCTGCCCTTGCAGATAATTGCTGGTAAATGTATTTTTGGTTGATTAGTTGGCTTACCAGATTTTAAATTGGGTATATGAGTGGTAGTGAAAGTACGCTGTTTTTCTGTGGGGAAAAAACCGAACAAGGAGGGGACCGTTTACTTTAAATAATAATGTAATGCCAAAAAAGAAAACCGCACTCTGTGGAGGATTGCTATGTCGTGTTGTTCGGAAAGCAAAAGTTTCCAACACAGTGGCGCGTTCCAGCCTTCCTGAGGTGTGAGCTTCAGTATGAGACTCTGGTAAATGTTTTATTAAGGGTGTGTAAATAAAAATCTGCTGGTGAGTATTGTTGTAGGTGGCACAGTGTTAGTGATGTCAATTTTGATTATTTACCCCCCTCCCTCTCATGACTTGCCTCTTGTCTTTGCTATCTTGGGGCAGAAATGGCAGGAGTCCACCGACTGCAGGTCGGAGATTCTGTGTTACCTGACGGAGCAGGTGCCACAGATCTACTGTCTGGAGGAGGTGCCTCATCCCCAGGAGGAAGAGGAGAAGGCAACGGATCTGCTGTTGCAGCCCCTAGAGTGCTTCCTTTTCGGGGAGGATCCCCACGTGGGTCTGGAAAAACTCCAGCAGGACAGCGCCTCCTCCCATCTCTGTGGAAGAGTGTTCAAGGAGGGGGAGACCACCTACTCCTGCAGGTCTGCTTTTCCCTCACCAGACACTTGTCCATCATATTCTCTGGTGTGTTTTTCCTCTCAAAATAGGGCAGGTAATAGTGATATTCTTGCATCTGGCGAACCCACATTAAGGATCAGTATTCATCTTTTTGTGGAAGTTGTCTTGTGGGGGCCTGGTGCTGGTAAATAAGCTAAAGATTTGTGTAAATGTTTTTTTTCTCTCTACAGTAAATCTCGGTCATATGAAATGGTGCATTTTCTTACTGTACAGTATGATAGTTTTTTGCCTTGTTGTGTCTTGGTTTCTAATTCATTAAAAATTTGATGCCAGTAGAATAGGACATTAAAACAAATTTGAGGAATAACTTTGCCCCCATTGTCTAAAAATGGGGGCATTTACAAAATGTTGGGGGCACTGCTTAAAAATAGTAATTAATTTATAAAGTTTCTGTTTTTAATGTGAAATGAGCCCAGATGAAAATGCATACCGTAATCACTGCCTTGTGCCAGCATGAGTAAATAAGCAAACTACTGCTGTTCCACATCTGTTTGTGTACAGAAAAACATCTATATATGAGAGCTCCAACTATTTGGGCTTTTATTTAACTCACAATAGCCTTTGTATATATGTATAATGCATTAGTTTATTGATAAAGTGAAATCTTCATCAGTCTATCAAAACTAGTTGAACTAGTTTACGGTCATTTTTAAAAACATCCTCTTTAGAAACCTTGAAGGTCTATTAAAAATGTGTTACAACTGTAGTACCAATTATTTGCCTCCGTCAACTGCCCTGTGAGACCTTACTTAATGCATCATTTATTTTCCCAACGTTCTTGAACAGTGTGTGGTTTTGACCAGAACCACATGCTGGAAAAAAATAGTGCTTGCTGCTCATTTTGATTTTAGCTGTCTGCAACATCACAACTGAAGGTCTTTCGTTGTGTACAACCCAGAAGGAATACTATTGGTTCTAATAAAGGTGTATTGATATAAATGGTATGTGTGTCATGCTACATCTCATTTTAAAAAGATATCAATATACCCGGAACATACTGCTCAGCCTTTGCCAATTGTAAAAGTTGTTGATGGGTGGGTGGTAAAGCCATGCTTAAGCATGAGATCTGTAGCCACGCCCCTAACGGAGACTGGCTTGTTTTTGGATGTATGCCTTTATTAACAAATGAAATTGGCCTCTTCCAGGCATCATTACGTTCCAGTTACATAAAGTTATGTATGTATATAGTGATTAAATGAAATAAAAAATATATTTATATATATGTATATAATTTTTCAAAATCTTGGGGGCAATTTTTGCTCTTCGATTTATGGTTTTTAGGGGCATTCTGGGTTTTCTTGTGCTGTTTTTGCTCTTTATTCCTGTTAATTTCCCCCACTGGATGGCAGACACTTTATTGCTGTTAACATTTGTAGAAAGCTTAAGATGCTTGTTTTATTTGTCTACGGAATAGCTGCGTGGGCACCATTATTTGTAGACTATTGTGTTTCAGTATACCATGGCAGTTAAAGGACTGTTTGAATTATTTACCGGTTGACACTGTTTCCAGTTTCAGGTTTGCAGGCCTCTTCAGTGTCGAAACATGTCAGCACCACTGTTTATAATGTTTGGTTGACATGTACCTCTGACCTCATCTAATGTCTTATTCCAGAGACTGCGCCATTGACCCAACATGTGTCCTCTGTACGGATTGCTTCCAGAACAGCGTGCACAAGGGTCATCGGTACAAGGTAGCTTCAGAAGTGACCTCATCCTGTTACTTCATTACTAGAATAAATGTCTGACGTTTTCATATTTCCATCAGACTGGATTAATACCTTGTTATGTTATCCTCAAATATAGGTGCCGGTAGTTTTTTGCATGTATTTTAATTGTAATTCTGTTTATATCCATCTTCAGACCACAGGGTCAATGGGGGGGAGGCCTGTAGCCTTTCGCATAAAGCAGTGTTTCCCAATCTGGTCCTCAGGGGCCCACAGTCAGGCCATGTTTTTGCTCCCTCTGAGCTCCCTGCCGAGCCTGTCTGTGGGTCCCTGAGGACTGGACTGGGAAACACTGCCATATAACACAGGGCCCAAGGCAGGGAACAGCCTGGATGCTAACAGATACCCATTGTCCATGTATGTATGTGCTAACTTACAGATGTCAGTTAACTTGGGCCCATATGTCTGACTGGAGGGGATCGTCTTGGTTAATACATTTATTTATTTACACCAGTGTTTCTCAACCTTTCCGACACGCTGCCCGCTGTAAATTTTGCCTACGGGGGTGGTGGTCCCCCTTGGTAGATTTCTCTGACCATGTCTCTTGGTAAAATTTGACTACCAAGCGGGGTCGGTACATTTCGCTGTCTGGGGGGGCCCTCGGTTAATATTTAAATTTATTTACATACACCATTTAATATATCTATTTATATACACAATGTATTTTATATACTCTTGTATGCTTTTTTTTTTTTTTTTTTTTTTACTTTGATCTAACGATTTTGCTTAAGATCGCCATAATGTTGCCTTTAAATACATGTAGAATATTTCAGAAGGTCAAATGGACTGCAAGCAGAAATCTAATTTTAAATAATTCTTATGAAAATGAACTATTGCGTGTTGAAATTTAAACGGCAAACAATACCACCACAGAGCCGACGTCTTACCTTGTTTATCCACGATATTTTAAAAATAAAAGCTGTTGTGGCTGCTGAGCTGTCACCTTGTCTTCTTCACCAGTATTTGAAGCTTCCTCTGAAGGAGCTTATTGCTTCCATAATATATTACCAAAACGGTAGCCTATGTGCGCCATGTACTCAACCAACCTTGCTGTGCCTGTGATTGGCAGGAATTGCATTCATTTCTGTGATATGAGGTTAATGGCTGCTATCAAGCATTGTTCCTTAGCAGTTTATCAGTGTTTTCTCATTTTCTTGTCATTTTAAATTTTATATGATGACAGGTTGATAAACATCACCCAGCCCTATCTCGGCGGTAAATCGGCTTTGTGTCTGTGCGGCAGCCCATCATGAACCAAGCTGCATTTTTCTGTCACTGCCTCACTTAGAGCTCTACCATTTGAGAAACGCTGGTCTAGCCTTCTGTCAGAAAATCATGATGGTTTAGACTCCTGTGCCAATCACTGATTGCATGAAATGGCATTTCACACTCTTTGGGATTAACTTGCAGTTACAGTTGACGTTCACACTGGTCTGCTCAGTTGGCCTGCCCTTTCCCTCCACTCTTCGGGGGGGGGGGGGGGTCTGTCACTAATCCCAGCCTGGCATCTGCCCTCTCTTCTAGATGCATGCGTCGTCGGGCGGTGGCTTTTGTGACTGCGGGGACTTAGAAGCTTGGAAGATGGGCCCCTGCTGCCCTAAGCACGATCCGGGGGCCACGGCTGCCATGGAGACGGTGGGTGTTTTAAGAGTGGTCGTCGGAGGCTTCCGCAAGTGCATGAGCTCATGGGGATGCATGTCTGTGCAACCTCTCAGTTTTATGGCCAGGCCTTAAGGGAACAATTCCCTGGGAAAAAGCATAGCAGGAAGTGTCTGTCGGTGGGGAGGGGATGGGCAGAAGAGGGGAGAATGGAAGTGTTGACAGCCTCAAGTTTTTGTTTGTTTTTCAGTCTATATCTGTCTATCTGTTTAGTTTTGTTTATTTTTTTAGAGGTGAAGTTAGCTTTGAAGGTAAGAGTTTTTTGAAGTACAGATTCAGTAATTAACAGACAGGGCCAGAGTAGCGTCACACTGAAAAGGCTGTCATCAGCATCAGATCACTTGCCTGGTCCCAGGTGTCCTAGCACCTTGGGGGAGCATCGTTGTGCCGATAACATCTGTGAGGGGGCTATTAGCTGACGCACATGGCAGGCCCCTTTGCCTTCACCTCCCAGACCTGTTTCCATAAACAGCAGGTGCACCTATTGAATTAAGTTCTGCTGTCTGGCCTGCCTGCTTTGTGCTCAGAGTTGAATTTGTTTTCCTGGAACCACGGCATGCTTTGTGCGAAAAGGGCCATCTGGATTCATTATGAAGCCCTTCATGGAAGGTGTCGACTCTTCCTGGCATGGACACACACAAAGTGATGTGAAACAACGCTACAACGACATTGGCCTGAGCTAACCTGATACAGCTGCTTGGATCACCCCATCTGATTTGATTGTTAAACAGTATTTTTATTTATGCTTTCTGTACTGCAATGGTTTTATCTGTTCTATTCTGTCAGCTGTGGCTTTTTGGGAGAAAGTCCAGAATATTTATTTTGAATGTGGAGGAAGTGTGTCAAAGGTTATTGTAATGTTTCTGGAATCTGAGATTTTTGCCAAAACACTGCTGTTTTGTCACCAACCACCCCAGATGACGTAATTTGTGTTCTGAATCTCACTGCAAAGTGTCTGGTGTGCAGTGAGGAAGATTTTCAGGAAGGGGTTGAAGGAAATCTGTTCACTGAGCTGGATGTTGGCAGCTAATTCAGGCTGCGTATAGCCTTGGTCTATAAATAATTTCACTGAAAGCCAGGGCAAGTTTGAACATCCTGTCGAGTCATTTGAGAATAAACTGAAGTTGTGTGTGTGAGGATTGTGTAAGATTCCCAGAGCAGGACTGAAGTTTACGCTGTTTTATCCTGCAGGACGCAGACCATGTCCTGGAACCAGGCCTGCTGGAACGTGCTGAGAAGCTCTTTCGTGTGATTCTGCACTACATTACCGAGCTACTGGTTTGGGAGGAGCACGACGAGCTCCCAGCCGAGCTACGGCCTCTGTAAGGGAGGACAGTATGACTCATCTGTAACGAAAATGAGTGGCGGTGAAGTGGTGTTCCATGTAGAATTAGTAGTGAGCACTGCTGGAAGGGTGCTGCCTTCAGCTGTGGCCCGGGGCCTATCGTGTAAAGTAACGAAGTGCAAGTACTTCGTCACTGTACTTATTTGCTTCATTTTTATTTTGTATTGCATCCTGTATTTATGAAGACGGAACAAACTGCGTTTAGAGGCACGACATACTTAACATACCAAAATTGCAGTCTGATTTAAATCTATACTACTGAAATAATGGTGATGATTGCACTGGACGATCAGTCATTTTCCGTAGTAGAGGACGAAGGTTTGTCGGCTCATTCACCACTCAAGAGGTATAAATAATTTATAAATCATTATTAAATCTGGCACGTGGGTCGATCTTTTGTTTCCCACTGAATTCCATTCTGCAAAACTGCATCGGCACGCTTGGCAAGTTTCACTGCAATTTCTGAATAGAAAGACAGTATCCGTGTATTCTCTTGTGACTGTTTTACATATTCTGATGCTATGTATCTATCAATGCTATTTTCTAATCTGACTAAAGTGAATTTAAAAGTGTAGGCTTTTATGTTTTTTGTAAGCTTTTACTGTGCATTGAAAACCACGTTTCAGAGTGGTATTTCTCTGGATGACTTACTTGAGTAATATTTCGGTGTTGTATCTGTACTTTTTACTTAAGCATGAAAACAGTACTATTTCCACCCCTGAATATGAATAACTGACCTCATGTTTCAAGTTTTCCATGCACACATATGCACTGTCAGTGCGTCTAGTCAAATTATTTTTTTCGCCTGCTTCCTGGATTGTGCTCAGAAGGAAGTATGTAATACAAGTTCTGGCACTTTTATGGGAATGCCTCTTATCTCCGGGTGCTTTGCTGGGAATTTCGGAGTAATACCTGCCTGTTTTCTGTGTCGTCCTCTGGTTTGTGACAGATTTCAGCCAAATGACGCCATTGCAAATAATGTCTGTTCCATCTTCTCTTGGCAATAGCGTGCATAAGGACACATACTACTGTGTTCTGTACAATGACGAGCACCATTCCTATGACCACGTCATCTATGCCCTGCAGCGCGCTCTGCAGTGTGACCACAGGGAGGCGCACACGCACACTGCACTAATCGACAAGGAGGTACAAGGTGTTGGGGGCTATTTATGTCAGCATGTTAGATAGATGGTGCTTTTGATCTACTGTCGTTGACCTGCTGTCGTTTTGTGGTTATAGGGCCGAAGAGCAGTAAAACGGGGGAGCCTCCGTTCATGTCTGCAAGTCAAGGAGCAGATACAGGTACGGACAGGGTGCCGGTTGGGGGGGGCGGTGATTCGATTGTTCAGGATGCTATAAATAGCCTTTTAGGCATGATTAGGCATCTTGTGTGTGTGTGAGTGTGAGTGGTCTGCGCAGATGGCTTTCCTGAGATAGATGTTTGTGTCTCCGGCATCTCAGACCAACTCGGAGCAGATTTCCTCTGAGCCTCTGCGTGTGGAGATCCTGCACTCGGCAGTGATGGCCCACCAGAGCTTCGCACTGCGCCTGGGCTCCTGGCTCCAGAAGAGTATCCCATACTCAGGTCCTCGCACTCGTACTGGGTTGACCAGCCCCTGCTTTTAAGGCTCGCGTTTGCGGTTTAACAGGCCAGCTGGTGTAGAGCAGCGGAAGCCGCTTGACAGGTGTGTTCTGTGGCCCACAGTGGGGTTCCGGCAGCTGTTTTGCCAGGTGGCTCTGGAGCCCAGCCAGGTTGCAGGTCAGCCGAGTCTCATCAGCCAGCTGATGCTGCATGACTCCAAACTCTACAAAGGTCAGCAGGGTTGATTGCTGAAATGTCATTAGCATTTACCCTCTGTGGACACAGTGTGATTGACACCCCTGAATATATCTCTCTCGCTCGCCCTCTTTCAGTGGCACGGAAGGTCATACACGAGCTTATTGTCTGCAGCTTGCTGATGGAGACCAAGTATAAACGACTCTTTGCCATTGAATATACCAAGGTGGGTGCTTTGAGAACTTGTATGTAATTCTCAGCCTCCCAAGCACCATAAGAGAACCAGATGTGAGGACAAAGGCCCCGTCTTATGGCCTGAGCTGTGACCCTCACCCCTGTCCCACCCACAGCACTATAAGCAGCTGCAGAAGGATTTCATCATCGATGACCATGAGCGGAGCATTTCCATCACCTCGCTCTCGGTGCAGATCTTCACCGTGCCGACTCTGGTAAGCAGGGCTACCATTATTGAGGGTGGTGTCTTCCTCTTGTGACGTGCTAACCCCCACCTTCACCACTGCCCATCTCCCCCAGGCCCGGCAGCTCATCGAGGAGGGTAACGTCATCAAGGTGATTGTAGAGACTGTGATGGAGATGCTCTCGGAGCACCTGGACAGCAGCAATAGATTTCACTTCCAGGGACACAACGTGGACCGGTTCTACAGGATCCAGGATATCTTCCACGACCTCAGGTGAGCAGTGGCCTCCAGAGAAGTGCTCCTGCATGCAAAGCGCCCCCTTGTGTTAATGATGTCATTACCGTGCACAGGTACATCCTGATCAGCAAGCCCACGGTTTGGTCCGGTGAGCTCCGTGCACAGTTCTTGGAGGGCTTCCGGGCTTTTCTGAGAATTCTGGCTAGCATGCAGGTACCGTATTCATTTCTCTCCAACCTGTAACGTCTCTGGGGTTGGGGAGTAGAAGTCCCTGGGGGGGGGGTTTACCTGACTGCTGTGTGACCGATTCCCCCTTTAAGGGCATGGAGGAGGTGAAGCGGCAGTTTGGCCAGCATGTGGAGGTGGAGCCCGAGTGGGAGGCTGGATTCTCCATTCAGATCCTGCTGAGGCACATCCTCTCCATGCTGCAGGAGTGGTGCGCGTCCGACGTGAGTATGGGTCCCGGCATGCCAGCAACCCTGCCGTTGTCACCCATTCCCACAATAAGACATTTCTTCAGTTTATAACCACATCTTTGCATCTCGTAGCGTTTAAGCTGCACTGTGTTTGTTTCAATTCTGGACAGTCCTGTGTCTCGTTAAGTGGGCAAACCAAATTGTCTAAATTGTCCAGGAGGAGGTGCTGTTGCAGGCCTTCAAAGACTGTCACAGCACTCTGTTGCGCTGCACCAACCAGCCCTTCCGCAGTGAAGCCACAGACTCCTACATGTGCAAGCACATCCTGAACTCGAGGCCCTACAAAGTTTCCGAGGAGCCCGTCAGCGTCTACCTGCCCGTCTCCAGGCTGCTGGCAGGTGAGTCTCGGGGTGCCTCGCTATGCTAACCTCTTTCCTGACTTTGAACAGCTAAGATGTCTTTCTGTCGCCTCTTTTTTTTGTGACAGGCCTGTACGTTCACATTTGCAAGAGCGGGGCGGTTGCTCGTTTGCAAGAATATCTTGATGAGGTGTGTTCCTGCCGTAAGCAGTGCTTGTCAGTCTGGGTGGGGGGGGGGTGGGGATTTGGCGCCCTGTGCATGATCCTCTGGTTCTAACCAGAGGTGGAAAGTTCAGTCTCAGAAAGTACAAATCCAGACCAGGGTTTTGTTTCAACCAACAAGTTGAGTATAAAGAGTCACATTCACAAACAATAGGTTGGTTGAAAATCTTGGTGTGGAATTATTCTTTCTGGACCTGAACTTTCCACCTCTGGTTCTGACCCTCTGCTCCCACTTACTGTTGCTCGCAGATGCACTGCGACTTCGCATACCTGGCTGAGCATCCGCTGCGCTGTCTGGCCTTGGCGGCCCAGGTATCCGCTGAGATGTGGCGTCGGAATGGGCTCTCGCTTGTCAGCCAGGTAAGGCAGGGGGCAGCACTGAGCAGGTGAAGATCAGTCAAACCATTGAGCGTCGACAGCAATGAATCGAGAGCCTTGATGAATCCCACTCTTTTGCAGGTGTATTATTATCAGGATGTGAAATGCAGGGATGAGATGTTTGATAAGGACATCATCATGCTTCAGGTACGCAGTACCGATGCCTTCTTACCCCAGTGGTCCTATGGAGCCCAGTCCCTCACATTCTGGGTCTCTTCCCACAGATCGCTGGGTCCAGGATGGATCCTAACGACTTTGTGATGCTTGTGCTTCAGCGCCTGGAGCTCTTTGAGGTCTTTAATGGCAGCTACTCATCCAAAGACCAGGTGAGAAGCAGAGGTTCCAACGAGAGGTGTGGTGTGCAATACGGGGGACATGTGATCATGGCCACATGGAGGCTGGCTGCTGACTCTGTGCTCGTGCAGGAGGCGCTGAAGCAGTGTAACAGGCTGATGGAAGAGATGCTTCACCTGCTCATCGTCATCATAGGCAAGTTCTCCACCCAGCCAGCCCTTTGGGGGCTTTTTGTGTAACAGTGTCTGTGTTGACTGATTAACACCCTAGAGGTCCACAAACATGCCTGAAATTGAGCTAGCATACCATGAGCCTTGAAGCAAGTAAGTAGTTGAGCAGATTAGACCCTGAAGGTGTGAAGTGATTGGTCCACATTTCTGTGCAGGTGAGCGTTACGTCCCGGGGATCAGTCAGGTGACCAGGGAGGATGTCACCATGAGGGAAGTGATCCATCTTCTTTGCATCGAACCCATGGCCCACAGCAGCCTGGTCAAGGGCCTACCAGAGAATGTGAGACACCCCCCCCCCCTCTTTAGCATGTATTTTTGTCCCTTAGTGGTATGCCATGGAACTGATTTATGTTTGGTCCCCCCTCCCCCCAAGGAGAGCCAAGAGACTGGTCTAGAAAGTGTCATTTCCAGAGTCGCCACATTCAGGCAAGTCCTGCAGCTTTTCCCTCTATGTGCTCTGCTATTTCTGGATACCAAAAGGCTGTTATGGGAGTGTATGGAGGCGTATTAATCCGTGATCATGTGACATGTCTGTTTCCCTGCCTCAGGAAGCCTGGGGTTTCGGGTCATGGCCTTTACGGGGTCAAGAAGGAGTGCCTTCAGGAATTCAACCCCTTCTTCTACCACTACTCCAAGTCCCAGCACAGCAAGGTATAGCCAGAGCACCAGTGCTCACCTTAATCACTGTTTTCCCTGTCATTTGTGTAAATGTGCACTGATTGGCTTTCAGGCAGAAGATGCTCAGAAGAAGAGGCGAGCTCAGGAGGGTGGTGATAAAGGTAGGCAGGTGTGGTTTGGGCTGCTTTCACAGCTTCAGTGTGCAGTGTTTGGTATTTACAGCTGTGGTGCTGTAGTGTGCAGTTGTTTGGTATTTACAGCTGTGGTGCTGTAGTGTGCAGTTGTTTGGTATTTACAGCTGTGGTGCTGTAGTGTGCAGTTGTTTGGTATT